TTTTTTTTTTTTTTTTACACTTTGTTTGAAAGAAAACTTTAGTATTTTACAGTCTTCAGTAGGCATTATATACACTGCACTTATGAAATCTAGAAAGTATTGAAATAGAAATACATTTCTGCAAACATTTGGGTAAGAAAACAAACCAAAAAATTTCAAAGATTTGTGCTATCTACATAATATTTCTCTAAATCACAATAACTGTATCCATGGAATGTTCTCTAGAAAACATCTTTTTTTTAAAACACCATGCACATTTTTAAGCAATTGTAACCCAAAATATCCCAACCTAAAACAATCTAACAGTGTTCAGATTAAAAAATTTAAGTTTCAGATCAGATTTTAAAAAGATAAGTCTTTTATCACAAGAGCTGTAATGATAACAATTACACGTTAAGGCTAAATTGGTTTTGTTTTGTTTTTAGACACATTTAAAGACACACTTCTCTCATGGCTCTGCATTATGAACTGTACTTACAGATGACAGTGCAGTGAACATAATATTCAGTCCTACAGTCAGGATGCAGTTGCTCCTTCCCACTCCACAAGATACTGCACCTTTCCATCAAGTGTCACCCGACGAGCCAAAACACGGTATTTTTCACCACAAGCTATTCTACCTGCTGCACCAAAATAACTAGTAATAGAGTTCTTTAGATGATTCAGCTGTAACTCCTGATCTGCTAAATTGTTAAGTATCTCCGTATTGAGTTCATCATACTGGTAATCTTCCTTGCTCTCGTCATCTTTTACAATTTCTGAATTTTGAGTCTGGAGTGCTTTTCGTGGAAAGCGACCTCTTCTTCTCAAATGTGGTATTGCAGCAGGCCAAGTTCTTCCTGTACGAGTCCTTTTTCTTGAATCAGATAAACTACTAAAAAAATAAACACAAGCATTAACTCCAGGAAACACTCAAGATGAACGGAAATGGTAAAACAAAACTCAATTCACAACTGTTGTTCTAGTTTTCAGTTTCAATACTTGTTACCTGTATATAAATGATTAATATGGCACTTGCAAAAGAGACTTACATAACAAAAACTGTGCAAGTTAACCCATATCAGAAAATTTGGTTAAATGACATTAGATTATGCCTAAGTATCTTTAGAATACTGTTTTGATTCAGATGAATTCTAATCTTCTGAAAACTTCAAAAAAAAAAATTTTTAACAGATTCTGCCCCAAAAGTGCCTTGAATAGTAAATTAAAAATACAGCTTTATCATATCAGTAGGCCCCTATTACAAAAAAAGCTGAACTGTAAAAGTTTGGAATCTTATGTTGGTGAAGACTATAATTAAGGACTATCTGCAGAAGTTGCTTTTTGGGTTGGTTTTTTTTTTTTGTTTTGTTTTTTTTTTAATGCAAAGGGTCACCACCCCTTTGCATAAAGGTGGATTATAGTTATTTATGAAGACTGAGTCAAACTTTTAGACTAAAATCTACAGCATACTCACTATTCCTTAAGATTAGTATACAAACAAAAACAAACAAAACAAAAACAAAAGTTGCCAAAATTAATACAGGGTACATGTCTGCTCTTCTGTGACCTTCGTTAGAAAGGTGAACTCAGTAAGCGTTTAAGGAGTTTACTTGTCTCCTGTAAAAGTAACTTAAGTGTGCATTTTACATTAACAATGAACAATAGTTAGCACCCATGCTGTGAAGAAATTATTTTCTTCTGTTCTACTCCATTAGATTCCCACTCAATTCACAGCTCTACTTCACACCTCAGTAGCTGGCTATAACAATTACCAGCAAACTCCCATATTCTCAGATATTCCATATCCCCTGCAACATCTTAAGTGCTTGTCTACTCTCCTTCAAATTCTGGAATACTCCTATCTCTGTTTCATAACTACTACAGTTGCCTCACAACTTGCATCAGTCTCCTTATCTTCTATCTTTGCTTTGCCAAAGCTTCAATGAAGAACAAATTAAAAAAAAAAAACAAAAAACCATCGCACATCACTGGCAGTGACTGGACTGCAGATGATTGCAAAATTGCCTTTTTGTTTTGTCTTTCTTTTCTTCTTTTAAAGAGTTGCTGTTTTAAGTCTCTCTCATGATCTTCTTAAAGCTTGTTGAAATACAATCTCTCTGGAAGTACCTGGCTCAAATTTAGCTGAAGTTTGCCAAAAGGCACCAAACTCACATTTTTTAGCTTAACACAACCTCAGGTTTTTGGAAAGTAGGCATAGAACATCAGAAGTCATTCTTTGGCAAGATAATTCCTGTACAATTTCTGTAACTTCTGTTTATTGCAGGTAAAGTACTGCTGAACTACTTGCTTTGTGTCTCCCCTTCAATAACCTTGTGAAAATTAACATATTAAACCCTTAATCAATACAGTAGATAGAGTAATTCAAATGTTACCTATAATGTCTGGATATGCTAGATGAGGTAGTTTCTTTTATACTGGCAGCACCTGTGGATTCCACATCTGAGGTATTGGATGAATGTGCAGTTCCATCGGATTTCCTGATATGTAAGATAACAGGGTTGCCATGTAATGAAAGTAATCTTATAGTAAAAATTGAGTTGACATTTCAGAAGCAAACAAATAAATGACATGCTATATTAAAATAGCTTAAGCTTTTTTGTTTGTTTGTTTTTAATTTACCCAACAGAGCAGGGTAATTCCAATGCTGGGGTCTCTATCACTGGAACTGGTTCAGTATCCTAAGAAAAAAGGAAGAGTACTTCAGTTTAAGTTTTAATTGCTTATTCAGCTTAGTTTGAGGGCAAACGGGGAGAGGAATATCACAATTTAGATTAACTGATTATATTTTTCTTCAAAAATGATAATCCGGTAAGAGAAAATAAAAGAAACATATCCAAAACCTTACCAGAGGAGACGACTCTGGAGTTTTGTGAATCATTTTTCTTGTATAGGGACCAGGTGGACGACCTACTGATTTTTTTTTCCCCTTTCTTTCTATACCATTACTTAATTCCCTAGAAGAAAATTTATATTTTTTTCTTATTGAAGAAAATTATTGAAGATAGTTTTCAAAGAATAAATGCTTTCCTTTGGCAATGAATACACATTGTGCTAAACGAGATCCTGGCAAATCGAAGCTGTCATGTAAAAGCTAAATAATTTGCCTGTATAATATCACACAGATAAAGTTGTTTCTACTGACATTACCGATTCCTTAACGTTGAAGAGGAATGAACAAGCATTGGTTAAAGAAACAGCACATCTACTACCACAAGCCAGAACTGTGTATCATATTCCCTATTTAGAAACCTAGTTAACAGCATTGCATAAAAGCTCCAGAAAGGAAATATTTCCCCCCCCCCCCAATGGCAGCAAGGTTCGGACAGCCTGTATTGTTCTTACTGCCAAATGTCATGATGCTTGTTTTGGTTTGTCTTTTGTTTTTCAAAGGCTCACAATAGGAAACTAATAAGCTTGAAGACTCTGCTCTCACAATCACCTTTAAAGAGAACATGCAACTACATCAGTTTACAACTTTAAAGTATCTTTAAAACATACAAACAAACCACCTTTACAGTTATTTAGAAATGGACATTATACAATGAGCAGGAGTTCTTTTGCAGGCAATGAAGTACTTGAAGTAGTTCCTATTTACAACATTTCTAAAAAAGCATGGGATTATTTTACCTCACATCAGGGATTGGTTTAGATGATTTTCTGCCTTTAATTTTGAACTCATGAGAAGTTCCTTCTGGTTCTTTCTCAGCCTTTAAAGCAGCATTTGGTGGCACAGGAGGAACACGAATTCTCAAGCCAAACAAATGCTTCTTTTTCTTTATTTCTTTCCCAGACATAAACCTAGATGATTTTAAATTCATTGTTAACATTCTGAATCCAGGGAAAGCAGCTTTTGAAATGTTCATGCAAAACAAATCTATGCAAATTAAAATACTCATCCTAATGCTATTTTATTCACCTTTTCCCGCTAACACAATCCTCAATCTGAAATACAGAATGAGAACTGGGAAGAGGATGGAAATTAAAACAATTTTTCTCATGATCTGGGATCCACTCAAATAGGTATGGGGTGTTATACTCTGAAACAGAAACAGTATTCAAAACGTCAACATTAACACAGCCACAGTGATTATCAGATAAACTGAGCAAAGGAGACTGACAACAACGAATGACAAAGCTGGAAGTATTTAGAGTAAAAATACAAAAACTTACATGGTCTTGTAATCATTTAATGCCTCCAGTACATGCTCATATCTTTCAGATTTTGGTGTATCTGCCAGCTGTGGAGAATTAAGAAATTATTTAGCCAGTCTAATTCTTCAGTAATAGAAAGCTTCCAATTATTATTATTAACGACTCTGAGTCATTAAAACTATCAATTTGGATGTGAAGTACATTAAAAAAAAAAATTACCTGTAGAAGCTACCTAACCCTTAAAAGGTGTTAGTCATTTAGGGCTTTCTGTTTGTTTGTTTGTTTTTTTAAATCCTCATGTTCTGTGATTCACATTCACAGAATTTATATTAGGGACAAGCCCTGGTCAAAGAATCTAGGTTTTCTGTTTAAGTAGTACAAGAAAATCAATTCAAATTGTTTTAGTATACAAGAAGGATAGTAGTCTGCCTTCCCAGGATCACTAACATGAGTACCTCAGTAGCATTAAGCACACCCAAAGTAAGAGACCGCAAGTAGAGTACAAGAACCTCAGTTATTTTATTGGTGATTGCTTTAATTAAATCTTGCTCAAAGGCTTAATTCCCATTTCTGTCTGCATTGATGACTTTCAAGAGGTGGATGCAACATTTATACATTAGAATTTAGAGTATTTTTAAATATGGTAGCGTTGCTGCCATATTTCCAGTTGCTATGCAAAAACGCTCCAGAATTTATACCCGGTTGGATCTGCAGTCAACTGATCTTTAATTATAGAGCTGGCCAACAGCTCACAAAGCACGAATATTAGTAAGGATACCACAGAGCAAACTGTACAACTGCAGCTCCAGAGAAAGCCCTCAGACACTTGTAAATAATACAACTCTCATTAAACAAGAAAGCTAACACATTTAACAATTTCTGAAATCTCAATACATACTCAAAAAAGAGCTCTGCTTTTAACATTGCAAGATTCAGTAAAACCATTTGACTGCCAAAGTTAAGAGAAATCTGACCAACTTTTGTGAAGTGACAGCTTTTTAAGATATCTTTCCATATATTTCCACACAATCCATTACTATCCTTAAGTTTTGCAATTCTTCAGCACACAGCTACAGAAAACTACAATTTTTTTTTTTTGCATCACAAATGGCAACATGATAAAAATATATGTGCTTAAGAACTCTAATAATTCCACCATTTACTCCTATCTTACTAATTCAATTCTATCAATACTTAGTCAGTTCTAACCATCTAGAGAAAGATGTACCATGCCTCATAGCAGCAAGTGAAGAGTACTACCAGAAAACAAACTATTAGTATTGTATGTTATTCTCTGGCTAGTTTCTGTTCAAAGACAGGTTATCAGAAAACCTAAAATATACTTGCCTTTATTTTTTTAAGACACAGCTTTCCCCCATGTCATGAGAGACATTTAGAAACTTATCAGAATAAACAACCTTGAATATTTCCTCAACACAACATTTATTTGCTTACTCAAAATATAGCCCTTAAAAAAAAAAAAAAAAAAACCGAACAAAAACCAAGTAGCCTGATTGGGAAAAAAAAGCAGTTTCCTTGAGGTACAGAAATACCTTAAGGAATTTCTGTTACCACTTAGGCAGGCATGCTTTCTCATTTTGGGCTTTTCCTCTCTTCCCACCTTAAATACCCACAAATAAATATTTGTGGGTTTTTCCATGCACACCACTCACGATCTGAACACATGTATCATAAAAAATTCATTATTTATCAAAAGTAATAGTGCGTGTCAATCATCTAAACCAAGACCACATTTCATTCTCATGTTGTATCTGCCAGAACGAGTGGATTAATTTACTGAAAATAAATATGGAAGTAGGAAACACGTTAGGAGAAGTTCCAACTATTCAAATGCCACCTTTGTATAGAAGTTTCAAAACCTTGAACACTTACGCAAGAAAGAAGCACACACTCCACTTGCAGTACATCAATGTCACTTCAACAGAAATTTTTGCATTCAGCCTTAAACACAAAACCAAAAGACTACCTACATCATTCCTCTACATTAAACATGAACTCAATTTGCTTGGGGAAATGGATTTTCTACATACTTTCCTGATAAAGCCCACATGGTTGGAAAAAAGTCAAAATCCTTAAGACCAATATACAAACTGCTCACACTCACGCTTGGAACAGGGAAGAAAGAGGAAATGTTTGTGTACAGTGATTTGTTAGGTATTACACCTTAGAGACCTTGATATTTTCATCCTAAATACACTCTGCATTCAGTTATAGGCATAGGTTTACTTGTCTGTACCCATGAAAATATTCAAGCCAGCATGAGACAATTAAAAAATAAAAACAAAATACGCTACAGAATCAACAGTTGAGTTAAAAAATAAAGTTGCCATGCGAACAATAAAATGAAGTTTTACAGCTCAGAAAAATATACACAACTTAAATATTTTAATTCTGCAAGGAAATTGAAGATGATCTCTATCATTTGGAGTTACCAGATGTTAAGATAATCAATTTAATATCTTATATAGAAGAGTTCATAGGTCCCTGACACGTGCACAGTGAAAGGTGAGGAAGAAAGAACATTCCAACTACTTACCTCACCAGGATGTAATCTATCCCAGTTTTCATTTATGTATGCCATGAGTTCAAGCTCCGAATCAAAGTATTTCTTCTTATGAATAACACTTAGGTTGTAAAGGCATAGATGTGCTATATCTACCCTAGAATTCAGAAATATATAGAATCACCAAAAAATCCCCAACTGCTTTTCTTTGACATAATTTCTTTAAAAGGATTAGCATAACATAGTTAGACAAATAAAGCACAACACAGAACACTCAATCCAGGAAACATTATGTTATCTCCTATCATTTCTCTACCTAATGTGGCTGCTGCTGCTTTGTATCATACATGCATGTCTGCCTCACCTCACATTCTCATTACGCTTCTTTAAAATCCAAAACAATTCTGAATTCATCTAAGTATTCCAGTGAACTACAATTTAGCAAGGTAATTTTTACCTTACACTTGTCAGCACATACATCCATTAAGTTGGTATAATTTTTAATACAAGCTGCAATTGAAGTACTTCAAACTGCAACACGGAATTTCATCAAGTAAACCACTACAATGCATGTCAAGCTGTTTACTTTTATATTTAACACATTTCACTTAGTTTAACAGTGAGACAAAGCCTAAATAAAGGAATTCTGCTTAGGTATCTTCAAATAGACAACAAGCAAGTACTTAGGTGCAACTTTACTGAACGATTCTAGGAATAAATCCGAAGAGAACTCAAGAGCAAAGAAACGTGCATTTATGAATAAGCTTTGAAAGAAAAACTGCCCGTTTATACAAGAACTCAGGAAATGATGAAAGACAGCAAGGGAATTTCCTTTTTAACAAGGCAAATCAAAATACCAAAAAGAAAAGCAGCACATATGTTCAATTATTTACTTTAATTGCACTTACCATCTCAAGGGTAAACGTTTGAGGTATTCTGGTCCAGAACTGCAAACTGAGCAAATGAATGTATAAAACCTAAAAAAATATATACACGTATATATGTCTGCGTGACTAGGTGGTGGGTGTCTGTACACACATATACATACATACATACATACATACAAGATGTTTTAACATGCTACTTATTACAAACTGTCACCTCATAATTCCAAAAAGGACTCTTCATGGGATTTTTTTTTTTTTTTTCCAAGGATGTACTGGGGAAAAATGAAAAATCAAGTATGCCAGAAACCCAGCCACATGACATTTGAGTCCCTTCACCTGCTATCAATTTCCTGTGTACTGTCTTATATCTGACCCAGTAGTGGTCTCTACTTCGTAAGTTTTACATTCCACATCTTCCTTCTTTTCTTCCCTGACTAGTGACTGTGCTCCCCAGTGTCCCTATTCCTTTAATTCAAATTTAGAAGCCTAAGCAAGTACGCCTCTAAAAGAGCACTTTCTAGATATTAATTTCTTCATACAAACATTCAGCACAACAAAGGGTGAAACGAAACCACAACAGATCACAAATTATACACTCCTTGATTCTTTAATCCAGTGTTCTCTCCCGTTCGCTTCAACTACTCCAAGCTCTTCCTAAAACAAAAGCACAGACCAATGCCCTTTCTCATTTCCTTTTCGCTTCACTCGTCACACATGAACACAGAATATACGGAGTTGTCATCTGACTATCCCTCCTGATTCTCCAGTTCCCTCTACTAGTAGTTCCAATTGAGCAGGAAAACAGTTAGTGGGACCTAGATGAGTCAGATGGAAACAGAAGCACTGATGAGCTACAAGGAATGGAACAAGCAGGAAAACATTTAATCTACCACGTTTCGCTAAGGGCACATTTTCACACAGTTGCTAGATCTTCTCTTCGGCACATACATACCAACAGCCTACTTCAAAGCACAAAGTGCTCACTCAAAAAGTGCTGTTACTAATGTACTTCATGGTGAGATCTAGAAAACCCTTATCTTTATTATAAGCCCACTATGGTGTTCTGCTTCCCCTAGTAGCCTATGGCATAAAGAACCTCCACAAACAGTTAAGTCAATAACAATAAGTTTGAAATCAGCTATCCATTGATTACTTCACCCTAATTTTCTTTTTCTCTTTTGTTTGAAGGCTGTTCAACAACTCTGTTTAAAGAGATGACAAAAAGCACCCCCTGGTACTTGAACACATTTTGTTTTCCGTAATTTTCTATGCTAAACTCACCACAATGTTTTTGAAAAACACTTGAGTACTACACACGCTTTATTAAAAGTTCATCTATGAGATACTTCTTCCTAATTAAAATGAAAACAACAATGAAGTACAGCACAAGTGTTCTTACCTGTCACCAAAAAGCATTGGCTTTTGGAGGCACTGCACACAAGCCTCGTGGAACCACTGCTTACATTTGCAGCACTGCAACATCTTTAGATACCAGCTTCACCAACAGAAAGAAAAACAAGATGCACTGTAAGTTACTCAAAATGGCTCTTCATTATATTTAGATTAAATAGCAATGGATCTTCTGACACAAAGTAACTTTCACTGTTATTTGAAAGAACGTTTCAGCATCAGTTAGTTCTACAGTGAACAGTTACTAGTAAAGAATGACTAGGAATAAATTAAGTAGAAGTTTTAATACTTTGCTTTCTTGTATGACTCTGAGTTGCCCTGACTTCAAACTCTCAGTGCTACTTTACTCGTCCACTCACTCATACAGATATCAGAGTATTCAAGCTCCACCTATTTGGATGTCCTTGTTCCTCATAAGACTCTCAAGAAAGAAAACCTTTTTTCCCCCTACCCTCATAATAATTACAGTATAAGGCAGAATCCTGTCTGTTCTGTAACGTTATATCTCACATTATCCTTAATATTAAACCTGACTCAAACACAAGGGAACAACATAATTTTATTCACATGAACAAACAGTGAAGTATCTGTGCAAATCTAAACGGTAACACAGCAACAAAATATTCCCATTTCTTTTTCAGAGTGTCACTGTTTACATCTATAGAAACTTAAATTAACAGGCAATGTTTCATAAGCATGCCTTTCTAAAAACATTCAAAGAACTTCAAAAGTGCTTGTCTTCAGGACCAGAATCCAGGTTTGCAGGTGTCAGGTGTCTAATGGAGAAAAGTTGACACAGATCATCACTTTACTTACTCTCCAGGTCCTCCACAATAGCAGTAACACTGCTGGACGTTGGTTTTATGACCAGCATCCCACTCAAGGTCTGTTGCATTATATGGTAAAGTCTGTTTCATGACTTGCAGTGCTTTGGCATTTGGTCCCTTCTTAAGCGCACCACCTCTCTGTTTGAAATAAATACACTGGCTTACAAAAGTAACAACACTTTCCTTAAACTTTCAAATACTTTAATTTAACACTTACCAAAATTTCCATATAATCCAACTAAATGCTCTCATACATACTTATGCTTTAGTATGCTAGCATATTTACTTAAAAGCTAATTCAAAGACAAATGTCATCTATTTCTAAAATTAGTATTTATCTCCAAAATACACAACTTTCCCATTCACATCAAATTAAGAAGAGGAATTTCTGATTTTAATTTGAAACAATTAAGTAATATGTATCAGGTGCTACTTCAAGCAACACACCTTTGTTGTTGTCGCAAAAACACACTGTCGACAGAGCCATTTATCATCTGAATCTATCACGCTGGAATCAATATTTGGTGTGTGACACAGCTGATGATAACCTGTATTAGAAACAATTAATCAAGGTGTTATAAAAATGGCAAAAGAAAACCTTAAGGAAAAGTAACTCTAGATAATTTTAAGGCAACTACAACGCATTATCCTTGACCAAGTACCAAACACCTGATCAAACAGATTAGTAACAAAATGATCTTTTAAATCATCTTTGCAAAACAACTCACAGTCCATAGGAATACACGATAGTCACACGGGCTGCCATTATTTGCTGAGCTATTAATAGCCGCTAAGAGCTATGAAATTTAAGATCAGCCTCGCAGTCAGCGGTAGCCGTGTCAACATCTTCCTTCAGAAAAGAAATTAAAGATCTTTTAAAATGCAGGAAATAGGAAAAAATCTATTTACCTTGCCCACATTTATCACATATAACCATTTCATTCGGTGCTTCTGAATACTCCTCCTGACATATTGTACAGACCATTTCCCCACTTTCAGTGGCTCCTAGAAAAAGAAGTGTGTTGGTTTTTTTTTGTCATCATTTCCAGACTACAGTGCAGTTGGATCCATTACCATGCAGACAATTTGTTTTTATAAATGAGTTACAGATCCACGCATTGTAGATAGAGATTTTTACAGAGCCTAACACTCAAACAAAAAATAAACTCAGACACTTTGAATGGACTTAATATATTATAAGCATTTATATCATTTGACAGGTCACCAGATTCATATACGTTACATGTTGTCTATTTACTATACATTCCATGGTTCCTTAACAACAATAAAAATTAAACAACCGTGAATAAGGAACGCAAATGTAGACTGAAAAAAATCAACAAATCCTATCTGGACAATTGATAGAAAAAAAATTGATAGAGTTTGGCATTGCAGCAGCTTGTTCTCCTTTTTCAATGCATAACACACACAACTTTGTGCATGCTTTTTTTTATAGGTTTGCCCAGTAAAAAAAAAAAAAAATTACTGGAAAGGAAAGCTAATTTTGCTTCAGTGACACCACATATCAGTATAACAATCTAGATTAAAACAAGTTATTCAGTCTATGTGCTATCATACTTGTGCACTAACGTTCAGCTTACCATAAATGTATTAGTGACCATTAGTGCACAGCAAGAGAACAAACAGCAGTATTTTAGGTTATCAGAAATGAAGCATTTGTTTTTTCTTATTATGAACACAAAGCTTTTCTCATTAAAAATCAGAACGTCTGTTTAAACATCAAGAATCAGAAGGAGCTTCCATTACTTCCATTACTTTTATCTGACAAGCAAGTTTCCACTGATTTTCAGACAAAACCTGAAATTGTCACTGAAATTGTCCTAACACTTTGTTAGCATTAGGTTATTGTAATAATTGCTACTCCTCCAAACATCCAAAAAATTGAAGTTAATAGAAAACAGACACCTCACTTGATGAGCATTTCTTTAGAGTACATGAATACCTCCAAACCTGTAATGGTTTCTGTTACACAGTTATGGTGCTACTTTTAAATATGATAATTCCATTTAAATTCAGCATTTTCAAATCTTTGCTTTCTTTCTGTGCTATGCTGTTTCAACTGAAAACAGAATAAATTCAATGCAAATGAGGTTCTGTGAGATTTCTGTTGAGACCACATTACACTCCACCACCAAAATAAACAAATGCAATTACTTTTTAGAAGTGTTTTCTCTGCTACACAGTTACACAAAGAAGTAACTGTAATGATCTAGAGTTTTCAAAAAGAAATTGTGTATTAACTTGCCTAATGCATTATCCTGCATCACTTTAAACCACACTGCTCTTTTAGAAAAATGAATACAATGCAACAATTTATTTTAACAGATATAGTAATCTAAACAGATAAAATACCAAACAACGACTACTTCACTGAAGTTCTTGCCTGTTTGTATGTCCTTCCAGAGAACCCAAGACTTGGAACTGTCCTCAAATATAATGAAGCAGTTCTGTTTCAGTTTGTTTATCTGGAAAACATGAATACAATGGAATCCATGAGAAAGGACTAAGTAAAAGAACGTATTTAATCTTAACTAAGTGGAGCAATAACGTGGTCTGACTCAATCAACATACCATACTACAGAACTGCAGTGAAGTTGAACAAATGTTTACCTTTTTGATAGTTCCAAGATAAAACAAGCCATCTGACCATCTAGCTAGGACATCCTGACCTTCTTCAAATTTACACAGTGGCTTTTTGGCTTTCTGTCCATCACGTAACGACAGTTTGGGTGAGGATGCTGATGCCTTATGACTTCGACGTAAAGGAGACCGCTTATGGACCAGTGAATTACCCACCGCTGTAGAGTCTCTAAAACAAGAGAACCAAGAGAAAAGGTAAACTAAATAACAATCAGATAAAGCAGCTATTTCCAATATGAATGATTCACAACTATAACTCATTTAGCAATCTCCAGAACTTCAGGTAACTAAAAACTTGGTCATGTCTTCAGACTTAAACAGCTTTAGTAATAAGTAGTACCTCTTCAAATACATGCAGAGAGAAAAAGAGACAAGTTTACATCTAAGAGAAATACTCTGTGAAACTAAATAATGTGAACAGAGATGGGGAGACAAGCCTTCCAGCTACCAGTCTCTTCATGAAGTCACCAGACCTCACCAAATACATTTGATGCAGGATTGCATATGCAAAACATTCATCACTCACAACACTGACAGATCTCTAGAATTCCAAGGAAGTTGAAAGGGTCCCAAGCCAACCCTATTACTTTGGTAATGAAAGCTGCAGTCTACTGTAAACATGATGCTCAGCAGTTAGCTACTTGGAATAATATAACAAACATAAACATACATAAGAGGGAAAAAAACCAACACTGCGCTACCCAAAGTTCTATGCTAATTCAAGCACATCCAACACAGCACCGTGCTTTACTGCTAAACATAGCTGTCAAGGTTTCCAGCACAAGAATAATGCCTATATGTTAGATGACTAATGGAAACTACAGGTTTATCCTCTATTAGAATCAGTCAGGGAAAAAAAAAAAAAATAAAAAAAATCCAAGGAAAAGCATGAGTTCTTTTAATCTTTCTTCAGACACGAAAATCAAACCAAGCAGCACATCCCATGCAAAATATATATAAAAAAAACAACAGTGAATTATAAAATAGGTCCAGAAAAGGCAGTTGGAAGAAACTTCATACTTACTAAACACAATCTGAGTTACCAATCCCATATCCAATCGTATTTTCTCTTTGGAAACAAAGTGCACCTATAACTATGATAAGGATATAAAAGAAAATGAAGGAGCTAGATGGCATAAAGCCTATTGAAAGACTGAAGTTTCACCTCACTGAGGCTAGCACAGGTACGTTATTAAAAGCAGCAGTAACAACTGAACACACACCAGCAAAAAAACTAGATGAGCCAGTGTCCCATGTAGTTCAATGAAAACTTATAGCCAGACATTAGAGACACTGAAGTTTCAAGGAGACAGGAAGCCTTTCTCCTTAAGTTCATTATTTACTTACAATACTCAAATAAAACAGGAATAATCATTCATTTTTCTTCCACAATGTTAATGGAATTTTATTATGCAAGTTTCCTTGATTTGTTTAATACATTAAGCAAAATTTCAGGCTTGTGTCACAACCAGCACCACTTAATTTCATTTGATGCCCTTCATCATTCTCCAGCTTCTCCCTTTATGCCCCAGTAGTGATTTTTAGACCCACCCTGACTTATTTGCCAAATAAAATCCCATGAATTCTGCCACTTTTCACATGAAAGCTACTTAACAGTGGCATTGCTTCTCCCAAGTCCTGTTGCAACTTCTGACAACAGCTGAAGATTCCAAGTTCAAATTTACAACAAAGGAGCTGCAGCTAAGCCTTCAGCCCAGGTCATTTTTTATTCTCTCGTCTCTCCCAGGAATAACACTTGCAGCCTTTTCCCCCAGTGCTGCAATGAGGCACTGAATTAAACATGTCAGATACTGATTAGAAACTCCAGATATTCATTCTAACTGCAAAAAGGCAGCCCATAGCAACTTCTTCTCTTCCCTCTGTGTACTGTATTCACATCAGATTTCATTTGCCATTTCATAGAAACGTTAAGGTTGGAAAAGACCTCTAAGATGATGTCATCCAACCACTAACACTTCACCACCAAGCCTAAAACAAGTCCCTCTATGTCAAATCTCCACATTCTGTGAACACCTCCAAGAACAGTGACCTCCCCATGCAGTCTGCTCCAACACACTACCACTTCTTGCAGAGAAAATCTTTGCCTAGTGTCCAACCTGGATCTCCTTCATTATCAAGTCCCTTAGAAGCCTGAAGTTCTTGATGTTTGAACAGCTACTTTCTGCACTATTCTGAATCTTATCCTTAGAACATTTTTACATTTTAAATTTACCATATTCTGTATACCACTTCAAGATTTTGCCCTGTCTTGTATAATGCTTTTAAGTTCCAGAAGAGCCTTTGAAACAGGCCCCAGCCCTCAACACATGAGCAAGCACCTTCTTTCTCTCCATTTTCTTTTCTGTTCAACTGCTTTCATAAAAAAGCACCAAACGGGCACATAAATAAATACATCTGAAGTCAACCAGTGAACACAGGAAGGAAAGGTTTTAAATTCCATCAGCTCCTCAAACCTGAGTACACAGACAGTCCAGCCAGCATAACACAAGAGATGTTCACAATGTTCAAAGGCAGGCAAGTTTTGCTCAAAACTGCCTAGAAACAGCCATGAAACTATACCCTGCTCTCTGTTGGCAATTATTTTCTTGGAAAGGAATTGTCATAAGGAAGTATTAAAGTATCCAAACACTTCAGTCTGGACAGGCTGGAGAAGTGGACTCATGAGAACCTAGTGAGGTTCACCAAGGCCAAGTGCAAGGTGCTGTGCGTGGGTCAGGGCAATCCCAGGTATTTACACAAACTGGGGGAAGATCCCCTTGAGAGCAGCCCTGCGGAGAAGGACTTGGGGTCCTGGTAGACAAGAAGCTGGACATGAGCCAGCAGTGTGTGCTTGCGGCCTGGAAGGCCAACTGTGACCTGGCTGCATTAAAAAAGCGGTGGCCAGCAGGGAGAGGGAGGTGATTGTTCTCCTCTACTCTGCTCTTGTGAGGCCCCATCTGCAGTACTGCGTCCAGGCCTGGGGCCCCCAGTACAGGAAAGATGTGGAATCTTGGAGCGGGTCCAGAGGAGGGCACTATAGATGATCAGAAGGCTGGAGCACCTCTCCTATGAGGAAAGGTTGAGGGAACTGGGATTGTTTAGCTTGGAGAAGACAAAGCTGCAGTGAGACTTCACTGTGGCCTTCCAGTACTTGAAGTGAGTGTATAAACAGAAGGGGGGAATGGCTGTTTATGAGGGTGGATAGTGATAGAACAAGGGGGAATGGTTTTAAACTAAGACAGGAGGGGATTAGTTTAGATATTAGGAGGAAGTTTTTCACTCAGAAGGTGGTGAAGCACTGGAACAGATTGCCCAAGGAGGTTGTGGATGCCCATGCCTGTGATTCTATGATTCACCTTACACCTATGAACATGATTTAGCTTATTAAACTGGTCAACAAACTGCAGTGTGCGTTTCAAATCATCTAAAGTAAATTTCAAATCATCTAAAGTAAATTGACTAGGCTTGAAACACTTCAGTGAGCGTTTTGACAGACTATTCTCTTCATTCAAAGATGTTCTTTCCAGATTTTTTTCAGCTTTATAAATAAAACTAGAGAAAGCAGCTGGAAAGCCGTATTGGTGACTTTTTTTTTCCCCGGTACACAAAAAAAGTCTGAAAGATCTTGGGCGAAGTAAAGAGATGCAATCATTCATTTACTAATATACTATCCATTACAGATTTTCTTATTTTTTTAAATTAAAAATCAACAAGCAATATATTTTGACTTTCACTTAAGAAAAGAACATCATAAGCTTTCAAAGACTTTTTAACACAGAAGTTTGAACCTTAACACCAATTAAAGAGTAACAAAAATGCCTCGTGTATTTTTTTCTGGCACGAAGCGCTCTACAAGGACTTAGAAACTTACTGAAGCATTTTGACTCACACCCCATGCAGGTGGGAGGCAGTAAAGCAGGCACTTCTCCACCCCCACACTGAGCACTTTGGCAGAGGCAGCACTGCTGCACTGGTGACAACAGCTCACAAAGCACTTTCTGCTCCAGCAGCTTCCAGTTTAACATAACGCATAGACTGAAAACAGGGTTAATGATTGCAGTATGCTGACAGTTGCAGCTAGCTCAGCAGCTCCTTTCCATGAGGATCAGGAGCCCCTTCTAAGCAAAACACCTCTTCCAAGCTTTGATAAGAGATGAAGCAGCAAGAGATCCTGTTTTAGCGGATTGATTTTAATTAACAAACCATTACCAGAAAAATCACACCAACCATTAAAAACAATTTTGGTAGGAAGTTAAATGAAAACGCAAATTGATGTTAATTTCTTGCTTAACAATTTTGAAATTAATCCAAGTGGTCTGCATTTTTTAAGGAACTTGTTTCCCAAGTCTTGCCTAGTGCCACCTCCATAGTACCTTCCTACCATTCCATTCAGAAAACTACCAATAAATTTAGTAACATTCAACCCACCACCTTAAAATTGCTCTCCCAGCCCTGCTCAAGGCAAAGTGCTAAACAAGTGTCTTTCGGGTAAAAAGAAGAAAGATCTGAGAGAAAAACCTACCTTGTCTCATTTAACTTGTACAGCTAAGCCAAACTGCATGGCATACAAGACGTCCAACTCAACCACATTTAAAGCTTTACATGCTTCATGCAACACTGTGTATGTCGTGGCTGTACTCTCATTCAAGCACTTAAAATACAAAGAAAGTACTTAAATATCCATGCAATTTTTCAGAAGTTAGTGGGGGGATTCAGTAAAATTTGTCTGCTTGTTGAAATACGCTTCAAAATGGAAATACACTTTCACCATTCCTTAATAAGGTAGTCTCATCAAATACTGGTAACGCTCACTGATTTTTCTTTCACCTCAGGGCCTAGATCACAAATACATCCTCAAGCAAGACAACCAGAGGACCTTTTACTCATTCATCTACTCCATGAATCAAGTTACAGTCACACGCTGCAGTAGGAGGAGACAGCTGTCACTCAGTCAACAGGAATGGCAAATTCCCTCCAGAAGCAAGCTGCTAAACGCTGTTTCAGTCTCATTACTGAATGATGACACTCTGTGCATAACATCATATATAATAAAATCAAAACTAGGTTTTTGTGTGAGAATGTCTCATAACTTTACTGGAGATTAGCAAGTCTGACTGTTCACATTATACCTCACAAAAGCCCTATAAAAGAAGCAGAGAAGTTGGAAAA